GGGGGTATCTGACTTAGGGGAATCATGCTCCCCCTTAAATCAAACAAATAATGGACTTGAGCAAGACTACTCCTATAGCACCTGTGTCAGATGGTCGTGTGGAGTAGTTTTGGCTCGACACAGTGATATAGGTATAATGATCATTTAACTCTATACTTTCCCTGTGACAATTCAGGTCCGTGTACACGTTTCTTGACGTATTCCAGTGGGGGACGTCCCAATGGTTCAATGTAACATATAACTGGAAAAAAACAGTAACGACAACTTCGTTCACCCCTCAACTCGGCTTTCAAATCAAATAGAATCGATTTCCAAAATCGGTAGAGCTGTTTTCAAATACGCAATCGCGCAATCGGTCCATTGTGTACATGGTGCAGACAGAAAGATATATTACGGGGCTTAAACCTTAGTAACGTGATTTACAAAGTACCCTACCTTTGATTATTCGGGTGCCATCTCTTTGTTAGCATTACGTAACCTGTTCAAATTTTAACAAATAAGAGTTGGGCATTTAATCGATGTTATAATATACACATTGAAAATGACGCTCAGCAATATCCAAGCATTAAATGTGTGATATGAGATTGATTAAAAAACGAATTCGGCCCGTGATTATATTGCTTTTACCTTCCCCTGTGGTACTCGTATACACAGTTAACCCTTGTTATTCCGGAAACTTGTATTTGTGTGTAAAGAGGACACAGTGGTTTGTTTGGAAAGTGGCCCCCGCTTAGACCGGACACTTACGTGTGTACAGTGGAACCTCGTGTGTATGGACACTTTGGTTTGTGTACAGTTAAACCTCATTAGTGTGGACACTTTTGTTAGTGTGTACAGTGGAATCTCATTAGTATGGACATTTTGGGTGTTCAGTGGAATCTCATTAGTATGGACACTTTGTGTGTACAGTGGAATCTCAGTGGTTTGGATACTTTGTGTGTACAGTGGAATCTCATTAGTATGGACACTTTGTGTGTACAGTGGAATCTCAGTGGTATGGACACTTTGTGTGTACAGTGGAATCTCATTAGTATGGACATTTTGTGTGTACAGTGGAACCTCAGTGGTATGGACATTTTGTGTGTACAGTGGAATCTCATTAGTATGAACACTTTGTGTGTACAGTGGAATCTCATTAGTATGGACACTTTTGTTTGTGTGTACAGTGGAATCTCATTTGTATGGACACTTTGTGTGTACAGTGGAATCTCAGTGGTATGGACATTTTGTGTGTACAGTGGAATCTCATTAGTATGGACACTTTGTGTGTACAGTGGAATCTCATTAGTATGGACACTTTTGTTTGTGTGTACAGTGGAATCTCATTAGTATGGACACTTTTGTTTGTGCGTACAGTGGAATCTCATTAGTATTGACACTTTGTGTGTACAGTGGAATCTCAGTGGTATGGACATTTTGTGTGTACAGTGGAATCTCATTAGTATGGACACTTTTGTTAGTGTGTATAGTGGAACCTCGTAAGTATGGACACTTTGGTTTTTGTGTACACTGGAACCTCGTTAGTATGGACACTTTGTGTGTACAGTGGAATCTCAGTGGTATGGACACTTTGTGTGTACAATGGAATCTCATTAGTATGGACACTTTAGTTTGTGTGTACAGTGGAATCTCATTAGTATGGACACTTTTGTTTGTGCGGACAGTGGAACCTCGTTAGTATGGACACTGTGTGTGTACAGTGGAATCTCAGTGGTATGGACATTTTGTGTGTACAGTGGAATCTCATTAGTATGGACACTTTTGTTTGTGCGGACAGTGGAACCTCGTTAGTATGGACACTGTGTGTGTACAGTGGAATCTCAGTGGTATGGACATTTTGTGTGTACAGTGCAATCTCATTAGTATGGACACTTTGTGTGTACAGAGGAATCTCATTAGTATGGACACTTTGGTTTGTGCGTCCAGCGGAATTTCGTTAGTATGGACACTTTGATTTGTGTGACAGTGGAACCTCATTAGTATGGACACTTTTGTTAGTGTGTACAGTGGAACCTCATAAGTATGGACACTTTGGTTTGTGTGTACAGTGGAACCTCATTAGTATGGACACTTTTGTTAGTGTGTACAGTGGAACCTCATAAGTATGGACACTTTGGTTTGTGTGTACAGTGGAACCTCGTAAGTATGGACACTTTGGTTTGTGTGACAGTGGAATCTCATTAGTATGGACACTTTGTGCGTACAGTGGAATCTTACTAGTATGGACACTTTGTTTGTACAGTGGAATCTCATTAGTATGGACACTTTGTGTGTACAGTGGTACCTCGTTAGTATGGAAACTTTGTGTGTACAGTGGAATCTTATTAGTATGGACACTTTTGTTTGTATGTACAGTGGAATCTCATTAGCATGGACACTTTGTGTGTACAGTGGAATCTCATTAGTATAGACACTTTGTGTGTACAGTGGAATTTCATTAGTATGGACACTTTGTGCGTACAGTGGAGTCTCATTAGTATGGACACTTTGGTTTGTGTGTACAGTATAACCTCATTAATATGGACACATTAGTTTGTGTGTATAGTGGAATCTTTTTAGTATGGACACTTTTGTTTGTGCGTACAGTGGAATCTTACTAGTATGGACACTTTTGTTTGTGTGTACAGTAAAATCTCATAAGTATGGACACTTTGTGCGTACAGTGGAACCTCATTAGTATGGATACATTATTTTGTGCGTACAGTGGAACCTCGTTAGTATGGACACTTTGGTTTTTGTGTACACTGGAACCTCGTTAGTATGGACACGTTGGTTTGTAGGTACAGTGGAACCTCGTTAGTATGGACACTTTGGTTTGTGCGCACAATTTGGACCCTCGTTTGTCCACCTTTTTGTTTTTTGTTTTACCCAGTAGACCTTCTTCAGTCCAGACGCTTGTACACATATAGTATACCTTTGATACTCCCGAAAAGTGTAAATATTACAAAAGTGCCGCTTGGTGGTTATACCGCATCAGCGATACCACACATTGAATCATTCTAGACATTTGAATCGAGTTGATGATTTATATCCAATATATATCAATTCTATTAAAATATCTAATGACAGATATATTACCAACATTATCATCAATAGTGGTTTCGGTTGTTAAAACCTGCTCCGGAAAACTTAAGAAACCTAAGCCTAAAACACAAACGGGCTTGTCTGTAGTAAAGGTTCTGAAAATTATAATGTAAATGTAGCAATACAAAAGACACACTACAAATTACCTTAAATAGGACACGACAACATGGGGGAGTTGCAGTTATTTGATTTCGATATTTTGATTTGCATATGAGGAAACTTCGTAAAAAGGACAAATATTATGCACACGTGTAATGCACATGTGTATCAATACGGGTGGCGTATTGTGACGGGCGGGTCACTGTGTCAGGGATCTCACGTGGGGCCCCGGGGTGGTCGCCATAAACACAAATGTTTACATCCTCTATCCAAATTAAATGCTAATTGATTAGAATTAGAAATGAAACATGTGCAATAAACGACATATCTAATTGTTTGACTCCAAACTTGTCGCATAAAGAGTTATAAACACGAACACCCTACAACCGGCCTCTCGGTACCGTCCTGTGCTCTGTGATCATTAGTGCAGACCGTCTGCTACAGACAAAACGCCCCACGTCAACTCTTTAAGTTAGTGTCACATACAACTAGCCGGTATTGTTGGACCTGTAAGGGTCACTTGGTTAGTGGCAATAGTAAAAAAAAGTCCCACGGGTACGAACAACATGACGCATACACGTACTTTATCTTAGAGGAATTTTGTACTATCGGAGTTGGCAAACAAGAAAAGGGAAACAGTTTGTCTGAAAACCTAGCTCAGTTTATATCTGCAAACCATATCTGTCGGGAACTTATAGTGATAAACAATGACGAATAAGAAGTAGAAATAGCACGTAGCTATATAGTATTTTACCTACGACCAATGCATGTTTGACCCTATCTAATGCTGTCGCAGACATGGTTAACCATGGGCCTGTTCGCCTAGTTAATATGTATGCAGGCCTTGCAAGGCTTTGTCAGGGCTCGCCTGAAAGCAACCTTCTTTCATAAACGAACTGTTGGGTTCAACCGTTTGGATCACGATAAACGAAAGCGGCCCATTTTTACACGTTGCTGATTGCTTCTGATTTCTTTGCTTCTGTGTTAGATAGGGTTTTGTTGCTTTGTGATGGTGTCGACTTGGAGATTTAATAATGACTTTGTGTGTTAACGCTTGTTTCTTTAAATATTTGGCTTTAAAGTATGTCTGATGGTATATTCGAATTTGTTTGGATACTCAGATCCAGCGTAAAGGTAACATGAATGATATGGAAATACTTTGTGCACTTACAAATAGAATAGGATTCCGTGTGAATTGTTTGGTTTCCTAGACATAACGTATTACCGTTTGGACGATACTGAACGGCAACATTTCCTTAACTACTTTTATGGTCAACTTAATCAATTATTAACATGTTTTATTCAAACGTCGGTTTTCATTAGCATCTCAACTTTTTCTCATATTTTGTGTTCGGCGAAGATTCCAATGTTTGTAGGATTTTGTTCTTTCGAAATTTATGGTAGATTGGACGCAAGGTTATTATGTTTTTTGTATCAGAATAACCGGACTGCTAACAAGCGGATATTTAAACCATGTTAATCCGTTTCATTCATGCCGCTAGATCTGTATATGGGCTATGTACTTCGAATAAAAACTCACCGGATTTCATGCCAAACATGATATGGTTGTTGAAAAGCTACGCCAGTTACACTGTTCAACTCTATACATCATTAATGTGACAACGCCTGGCATAACCATTTAATTCAATT